CCTGCTGCTTACTTTCCACTAATTCGGCAGCACATCCCTGTGTAGGGCACTAGAGCACGTGGAGGGCTGCTGGAGTCGACCGCTAGAGCAGGCTCTCTTCCTCTGAGCATTGTGGGCCTGATGATTCTTCCTTGTAGGGGTCTGTCCTGTGCATGGCACCACCCTCCAGGGGTCAGCACCTCCTCCTGTATGACAAACTTCAGTGCCCGAACTTCCAAGCACCCTTGGCACTGAAGTTTGAGAATTCGGGAGTGCCCCCATTACTGTCTCTCCTGGCTGTTTTTTGTTTTGTTTTGTTTAGAGAGATTTTTACTGATAGGGCATGCATGCTTACTGGAGAGACAAAGAGACAGAAAGTGAGAAGTCATCCCCCAGGGAAATGGCCATGCCACACTCCCTTCTCCTCCATTTTCCTCTTAGGATTTTGGGCAGACACGTGCCCGGCGTGAGTTTTAAGCTGCTGGATTGGAACCTGAACCACAGTCGACTACATAGGAGTCCAGCGACGTAACCATTACGCCATCTGCTGGTCCCTCTCCTTACTGTTGAACAGGGGTTGTCTTTATTGTGTAGTGCATCACAGAGTACAATTTCGTCACATCTCCTCCCTGCCTCCCACTAGAGTTAAGAAGACATAGATAGGAATGAAAGAAAGTCATTATGAAAATCAGCATGGGTCCTCAAAATCAGAACCCTTCCCCTCTCCCAAAAATGTCAAGCCAGAAATTATGAGAGGTCTCATAAAGTTTATGGAAAATGTGTATTGCTGAAAAAATACATGGATTTAGAATTAAATTCATACTTTTGTTTAGAGAGATTTTTTGTTGTAGGGTACATGCACTCTCCATAGAACTAGAGTTAAGAAGACATAGATAGGAATGAAAGAAAGTCATTATGAAAATCAGCATGGGTCCTCAAAATCAGAACCCTTCCCCTCTCCCAAAAATGTCAAGCCAGAAATTATGAGAGGTCTCATAAAGTTTATGGAAAATGTGTATTGCTGAAAAAATACATGGATTTAGAATTAAATTCATACTTTTGTTTAGAGAGATTTTTTGTTATAGGGTACATGCACTCTCCATAGAGATAGAAGTGAGAAATCTTCCCCGGGGAGGATGGCCACTCTGCAGTCCTTTCTCCTCTATTCTCCTCTCGGAATCTTGGGCATGCCCTCCCGTGCACCCAGCGTGAGTTTCAAGTTGCCAGGTCCAGGACTCGAAGTCAGCCATGTGAGAGTCCAGCAACATAACCATCACGCCATCTGCTGGTCCCTAAATTCATACTTTTAATTCCATTTTTCCAACTACATTCTGAAGTCCCCTCACATTGTTAAGAGCAAGCAAAGATGATTTCTAGAAATAGCAATCCAGAGATTTGATTGGGTAGAGAGAACGTGTACTTGAATCTCAGGTTGGAAATCAGATGGCCTGAGTAAGGACTGTACGGAATTAGGAGACTTCAGAACCGTGCTGTGCTCCCCAGGGGAATGGCAGCACCCAGTTTCTGGTGTCCTAGTGCTACGAGAGCCATAACAGCCATGGGAGCCACCTTTTTGTTTTGGTTTTTGTTGAAACAGTATTAGAAGCCATAAAAACTACATAGGGAAGGAAGTACATGATAAAAAGTACTTTCTAAAAAGTGAATAAAAAAAATATTTAGGGGAATTTAGCGTAATGGCTATGTCACGGGACTCCCACGTAGTTGACCGTGGTTCGTGTCCCGGACCCGGTGGCTTAAAACTCACGCTGGGCGTGTGTGTGTGCGTGCCCAAGATCCCGAGAGGAGAATGGAGGAGAAGGGATTGTGGCGTGACCATCCCCTCTGTGGGGTGATTTCTCGCTTT